ACTCCCTTCGGCCAATCCTCGTCCTCCTCCAACGGTTGTCAACCGTCGCCCTCTGCAAGTCAACCCCTCGCTTCCCACCCTCCACGTTCGAATCTCGTCTGCTCATCAACCGTCTTTGGAGGCCTCCCTGCACAAAATCGGAGGCCTTGGTCGACTCGGACCGGTCTGTTCGCACGTACGCTTGTCAGACAAGCGGCCCGTTGCCTCGGTCATTACATCTGTACGTTTAGGCGTTTGCATTTTTCAGCAAGGTTCGCCGCTTCTCCACTCCACATTTAGATAAAAAGAACGCTTTTCAGAGTATTTGGCTGCAATGAAGGTCCTCGTGATAAGCCACTTCATTGGCGTATATCATTTGCGACCAGGTGGCTTCTAATAAAAGATATAGCTTAGTGGGCCTTACCTGGTAAAATAATGAGTTTAGAATCGTAGTTTAAAAGCCATTGCCAAAATTCTGTATTAGGGCACTCCTTGCAACCGCTTGCTCATGCCACTGCTGGTGGAACAACCTCCAACCATAGGCAGAGCCGAAGGGAAATCTCTGCAGAAAGGTCTTGGGCCTACTCTTCAGCACTGGTCAGATGTCTCAGAAGGGAGGTAGAGTAGCCACACTTCAGCCCACCCACAACCTGCCATTCGACTTGCCATGGGTTTTACCATTCATACTATTGCTGGATGGAAAGGCAGTGGGGGGTGAGGAATCGGCGTTGTTAAAACTTGCCGTGCAGGGGAATGGAATCAAACCAAAGACTTCTAAAGGCTGCAAGTTCAGCGTGCCAAACCATTACACAACGGGCAGCATGCACAAATATATTATGGCAGCCTCAAATTGCAACCTGGCACAAAATCTGCATTCAATTATTAGGAGCATTTCGCTCACCAATGCTTCGTTGTCAACGATTCCATTCTTTGTACATTGGGATAAGCTCACAGGCAGAATTAACGCCACAATATTACACGAGAAAATGTTTCATTCTCTTAACGATGGCGGCAGTGGCAATGTAATAGAATTCTCCAATTTGCATAATTGTCTTCCTTTCACAGATACCAGGGTTCTGATTGCGCCACTACATTTCTACAATTCACGCTGTAATCGCTGCAATAGATGGCGATATCTCTCGTGTAACCCCCCCCCCCCCCCCAACGTAAAACAGACTTGGGTCGAGTGCATGCATGTAGAACTTCTTTCACACACCCACCGTACGCATGTAGCCAACCGTGTTAAAAAAATCGGGCGTGCGGATGTTGTAAGCCAGCGTTGCCTGTCAAGGCCAGGCATTGTATTTGCAGCATCATGCCCGACTGCCTTTTATCACCCCCTCCCACCCGCCCAAGTGGTGATAATTTGCAAACCATAACCAGGCACTGACCGTACCATGTTCAAGGTTGAGTTGACCCATCAAAGGGGTGGTCCAAAACAGGCACAAAAATACCACTCGTGACCAGATGTTAGCCATTGTAGGAAATTGAACCGTTTCATTTTAGGTGTAGTGTATCAACCCCACTATGCTAATTTCCCTCCAAATTTTTTGTTACAATGTTGTGAAAGTTAAAAAATGGTACCAGATTATTATTTGGGGCTGACATATTAAGATAAAAAGGTATCAGTGTACAGACAAAAAATGGGAATTACAAACATCAAAAACACCTATTTCTACGTTATTGTCCAGGTGGAGGTGGTAGGTAGTTGGGTAGTAGGCCAAAAAAATAAACAAGCCAATGTTCGGGGTCAACGCAGCTGAAGGGGTGGCAAAAAAAATTAATGCAAATGTGAGCACAACATTCTAATCCAAATAAACAACGATCTCATCAGCATAGCGTTTTCTCCCTCGTGTTGCATCCTGCCCGCATCTACAATCTCTCCACATGTAGTTTAAATTATCTTATCTAATTTACGGCTCTATAACTACATCTTGCTCTCTCCTGTCTTCAGGAGGACACAAACAATGCGTTCATCCAATCCTGGCCCAAACACAAAAATCAAATCGTGCAGCTCGAAAAACGCAAAAACAAATCCCACGCGCAAGCCATCCATCAACGGTCACCGGATAATGAACAACAAGGCGATGCATTTACAGAATACGAGCACGTGGGTTCATTTGTCAGGGATCGCTCGCCGACACGCAATTAAATTCTGTGGGTTAAAACATTTTTTTTACCGCCCCGAATGAGCACTCTTTTTTTTAAGCGTGGCCTTGAAAGCCATGGGGGGGGGGGGGGGGGGGGGGGGGGAGGAATTATTGTTGCAAACAGTAAACAAGTGGGTTTGGCCCAATCGTAAAATACCATCAACTGCCCTCCCGCACAAACGGGAAAACCAGGAGGGTTTTATTTTGGAAGTAATGGAGAGAGAAACAACGATTTAATGTCATAGACATTTGTATTTGGGCAATGGTGAAAATCTCAACTGCAAAGAACAAAGCACCGTTCAGAATTCAGATAGTATTAAAGTTGCCCATCAGTCTGTGGGGCCGGTAAAATTGTGTGGCATTGTGAAGACGCCAACTGCGCGCATTGTCCTATGGGATAGATTCGCTCGCACGTCATGGGAGTGTGGAATTTCCCTCTAATGGCTCAGGGCCGTAACAAAAAATAAAACGAGAGATAAGCAACGCCTCATTTGCTCGTTCGAGCAGGCAATCAGACAAAAACAAAACTCCTTTGTGGATGGTGGAGTCGCCTGCTTTAAAACTACACCACCACCACGCATCTATACAGCAGTACAGACTAAAAAAAAAAAAACACGTTACACGACCTGCCACCTACTGGTGTGGACTCGAAACTGCCGAGTAAACACGCGGAAGATCCAGCCTCGCGAAAACCACGGGCTTTCTCTGCCACAATCACCGCACAGTTTGTCAAAGACTGCCACAGACAAAGACCTGCCCCCCCCAATCCCGAATTAAGTGGTGTTTGTGGCTTCTGGCATTGATCCAACATCGTGTTGTGGCAAAGGGTGGGGTGGGGGGGTTAAGTTGGAACGCGCGGAGATCGGGACGAGGTTTGGCTCATCCTCAGCCACCGATGACTTTACGGAACAGTCACCCAGGTCAAATATTTGAAACATCCTCTCCCTGCCCCAACCACTGCCGCCTCCAGCCCCTTACCCCCCACCCACCACCGCCCTCGATTACAAATTAAACAGACACGACTACGAAAACGTACCCACAGGGAGATCTCCGCTGACGACCTCACGTTTAATCTAGCAGCGGATAGCACTCGCAAGCTCGGAAATTCACCTTTACCCCATGGTCAGTGGATGGTAAAGCTAAACCTGTGTGTGTGTGTCTGTGCAAGCAGAGCAGTTAACCCTTCGCCCGGTAACCTCGGTTAACTCGCACGCACCAAAAACACCCAGAAGAGGAGTTGATCATGCTTTCAAACAGCAGCAGCATTCCAAACCCAGAGCAGAGTGGGTTTTTCCGAGTCAAATGAAATTAGCGTTTCTCTAACCTCGCTTCATTCCCAGTACGATGCGATTCTACGTTACGTGCGTTCTCTGTTGTCAAGCTCTGTTGCGAGTGTGTTGTTACCATGTGTTGTTCGGCAGGATGTATTTGGCTGCTATAAAGTTTCCACGTGGTGAAGCCACTTGGTAGGAGCTTTCATTTGTGATGGCCAGGTCCGATTCTGAAGAGAAAAACAAGCTAAATAGTTCACCTGGTACAATAAAAAAAATTGTTTTAGTATAGTAGGTGTGACTTTTTTTCCCCTCTAGGCTTGGGAGATTTTTTTTCGGGCAGTGAACTGGGAGAAAAAAAACACCTATCTCCGAACTACCAAGCATGGGGAACAAAACGTCGGACATGGAGCCGAACAACAACGCAGGGGGTTGGAGGGGGTTTCAAGAAAATGAAGTTCCCAGCACGAGGAGATGCCGAACAATCACGCAGGGAAAAACAAACACAATCGCAGAGCTGTGCAGCGCAAATCGTGCAAACTCGAGCAGTAATAGAGTGTTCTTATAGTCAATGACACGGTGCAGAGGACACACGAAAAGTGCAATTCAAAACACCGATAAACCCCCCCCCCCCCCCCCCCAAGAACACCATGATAGCTAGCCACAATATCGTCCTCAAAATCAGATAAAATAAAAGCGCTTTGTTGTATCAAGTGCTCACTTACATAAATTGACACTCGCAACGATAAACCAGGCGCCGGCGCTGTGTGTGTATGTGTTCCGCCAAATCCGGCAGCTCGTGCACAAATGAAATCACAGGCCGTTGTACATTGGCAATTGAGGCCAGCATTACCCCCCCCCCCCTCTGTCTCAATCATTGCAGCGGACCGGCAAGACGAAGCCACACACGCGAGGGTTGGAACACAATGTTACTAATAACAACCCCAATAACAACAAACCAGGGGCTACGGAGTAAATATAGACGACCCACAAAATCGCGGGTATTCGTGGCACAACAGGTTTAACCACGTGTAAGATGCGACGTTGAATAAGTGTCGAGAAAAACCAACTGGATTGCTACCGTTCAGCGTGGTACAAGTCGGGTGGATTTCAATGCAGTCCACCGCAAAAAACTTACGACTACACACTTGGGATTAAGAGCAAGGGCGGTCGCGATGTCTATAGTATTTCTTGGGCATCAGAAATAAGGAAAAACGAAGCTCAGGTCAGTCGCTGTCAACTTTGATAAAGGAGTAAGAGGTTTCAGTCGGGGGATAGCTCTGCTGGCGAAATGGAGATGCGAATATATGTCTGGCATTGGAGAAACCATTGTATTACCCAAGGAGCCGGATACACACAAAAGAGCGAAACCATCAAAATGTTCAACATTCAATTAGTAAAATGATGCTTACGCGATTTCCATCAATTCTGTTAAGTTTCACAAGACGTGGACTTACCCTCGTACCAATAATCACAACATGTCATAACCCTAGGATTAAGACACCAGCAAAAAGAAAAAAACCTGAAACGATTTAAAAACCAACAGCACAAGGTGGCAAGAAAGAAAAACCTCCACAAGTAAATCCCAGTCGAACCTTACCTTGGCGATGCAGGAGGAGACGACAGCAGGTTTCTGGACTCGTGGTCGCACAACACAAAGTCTCGCGTGAAATCAGCAGCAGCAGCCCGCGCAAGGGATTCGGCTCTCGTTAGCAGAAGTCTCTCAGACGGTCATCGCGAGGGAGACGCAAAGGAGGGCAGAGAGAGAGCGCCAACAGCGCAAACATTAAAATCGCCCAGACGCTGCCGTTTAATTAAGGGAAGCCGGGCAAAGACCGCTTGCTTACGGAGGGGACAGGGCAGAGGTGGTGGTGGTGGTGGCAGGTCACAAAAATACTGGGGAGGCATAAATACAACGAGGGTACCCCCACCCCCCCACCAACCAGATGACACGCGCGCCTAACGCGCCCGCGACTCTGCACGCGGCGTCTGAACGCGCTCGGCCGACGCCGCACTGTGGCTTGCCAAGCCGTGCGGGCCCACCAGATAAGCCACGGTGAGACCACGCCTCTCCATTCATCCACCCCCCCCCGGCTCTTGCCTCCAACACGGCTCCCCCCTTCCTCCTGCTCGCCTCCCCTCCAACCCCGGCTTAGGCCGCGTGGCTCCCCCTACCGCCACTCTTCTAGAGCACTGCCCCATCCCACTTGTCCTGCTCCGCTCTCTTTCTCCCCTCCCTCCTCTCTACTACCCTCCAACCATCCCAACACCCTCCTCCCCACCCCTCTTTTTTTCTCTCGCTCATGAAAAAAAATAACAACATCTCCAACCGGAGCCACAACATCTACAGCCTCACCGCCGCCGAAGGTTTCATTTCTCAAGGGAGCATTTTCCCGAAGGCGCCCAACACAGATTTGACTCGACCACAACAACCACGACTGGATACCTGTGAAAAAGAGCTTCATAGCTCATCGGATTCCTCCAGTAAAGATGTTTTATTATGAAAAGGTGGGGGCGGGGAAGTTTCCAGAGCTCAGTCCCGTACAGCTCCACCTGAAATTAACTTGCAACCTCCCATGGTGTTATTCTTCGAGATTACGGGATCAGTGTTTATTTTCATGTGGGCGTTGCATTAGCTTGTTATGAATATGGTGGGTGTAGCTTTCAGATCCAGTGTTTTGAACTTCATATGATAAGTGAGAAACGTTTAGCTGCATTGTTTGAGAAAAGGTTTTCCGAGAACCGTTGCACACACTTGTTGCAATAAATAATCGGTTATCAAATGGGCTTAAGGTTAAAAACAAAAAAATAGTCCTGGAGTGACAATGCAAATCGATTTCTAATCAACCAGTTGCTATGTTTAAGCTCACGACACATGCACGTTGTCCTTCTCCCGCACGACGAGCACGGTTGGCGACGTATGGTGCGAAAGAAGTTTAACATACGTACACTCCATAATAGCCTAAGAGTTTAACATACGGACCACTAACCTCACGGTTGACTACGTACGGTGCGAAAGAAATTCACGCACGTGTAACATGGCGCCTTCGTGGTACCCTTGCACAGCGAGTCGATTTGCAAAGCATGGAATCGCCAATTTTCTTTTTCGAAAAATCGTTCGAGTTGCATGCAGGCCATGGGTTTGGTTACAAACACAGACGCCACTGGACGCGATCGTGGACAGCGGCGGAGAAGAATTTGGACTCCTCGTGCCAGGCGAAGGAAGAAAATGCACGAGAGAGCTCGTCCGCCACGGAGATGGAGCAATGGAGATTTCAAAATCTGCATGTACCGCGATGGGTTCTCGTGTCCGATACGTTCACCGCCGCAACGGGTTCGGTTTTGGAAGGTGTTACTAAGAATTGTGCCAATTCATGGAATTTCTTGGGGGAGGGGGAGGAGGAAAAGGCTCATTCCACCACTAATTAAAAACATTGATTCCCACCCGCTAAGTCGATGGGTTTCTTGGTCAGAGTGCCACTTGTTTACCGAGTTTCAGAAATGGGTCGACGTCACGATCGCCTTACCTCCCACCAGCTGTACTTGTTTGTTAGCAACAGTGCGGTAACACAAGAATATTATTATTCGTCTACCCTCCCAAACCCCCCCAAACCGAAAGCCGCATGGAGGAGTTGGGGCAATGCGCGCGCAGTCAGCCGGGTCTCATTTCACACAGCGCAGTCTCCAGACGGTTGCGCAACTTCCATTTCCCCCCCCACCCACCCACCTAAAAAAGACAAAAACAAAAACGTGCCAAGGGGAACGCAAGAAGGTCAACAATACGATCCTACCACGTCTAGCCGTGTTCCTTAAGAGAGTAAGTAACATCGTCATTGTCACCCGTGGCCAATCCACTGCTGGATGGACTCGAGAAGCTGCCACCACCACATCTCGTGATCAAATGACGATGCAGTAAATCCACATAAGGGGGTCTGCAAAGATCGACAATAATACATGTATTTTTAAATCCTTTATATTAAGTTCGCTTGCTTGCGCGCTTACGACCGTGCAAATCTTTTGGTCGTTTTTTAACCCACTTCCCGTGATCCAATCGAGCGGACACTTTAGGATTTTTTTTTTATTTAATTACCAATTGCTTAATGGTGGCAGGCAATCTGACCCATAGGTGGCAGCTATCTCAAGCCAGAGGACGAGAGGATACTAGCCGCCACGCATATAAAGGATTTAGTGAAAAACTTTGTTTTTACGGGTTAAATTTTTTTTTACACATTTACTTCCCAATTTCTCCCCCAAATATTAATCCGGACTGCGATTGACAAATCGTCACAAGGCGAAGTTGTCCATTCGGGTCGCACGCACGGCAGCAGCGGCAACACCCGCTGCGTTACGGAAGTTTACATCGGTGTAAATCCACACAACGACCGTCGTCGAAATGCCCCCCCCCACTTCCCTCAAGTGACGTCACGATCCACGCCAGTGACTGGGTGGGGGGGCGTTCTTTACCCACCCACTCTGCCATATGGAGGAGCAGCGGCGAAGGTTTGCCGTACGCTAGCCAAACGCGATATTTCATTTCAGAGCTCCGGGCAAATTGAGCGCAGAACCCAATTTCACGCGACGCTTTGCTCTTATAGCCGTTGGTGACCGAGCCGACTGACGAACCATCAACCTCGCTTCAAAACAAACACTTGGAGAGAACAGCGTTGTAAAAAACCAGGCAAGCCACCTCGATCCGAACGGAGGATCTCAGTGCCCAGCTCAACGCGCCGAACTCCAAAAATCACACAGGCCACCAAAAGGGGGATTTTTTGACTTAAAAACTAAATTTTGCATTTATAAAAGCCAACCGATATATACAAATCTGGCCATCCGCCTGACGATGCTGGTTGTAATTACTGGCAAAAACGTCGTACTCCGATTGTTAATTTGCTCTCCAATACACCCGTGTGCTGTACTAGTGACGAATTGGCACGTTCCGTTTACGTGACAACCCTTACCAATTGGCTGTCGGGTTTAACGACAAATTTATAGTCAAGCGATCTAACCCCCCCCCCCTATATTATCGACATATGCCGTCCGATTAGAACTCAGAGGGTCTTAGAAGGGAAATGTAGTCAAAACGCCTAGACGATTGACTTGGGGATGGGCGGAGGGGGTGGGTGGGTAGAAACCAAAAAAAAAAAATGGCAAACTAATTACACGTCAAGTATGTCTGGATGCCATCTGGACTTGCCAAAAGCTCCGAGCTCCAAGAGAGAAAAGAAGCCTTGTTTCAGACCACGCACCATGCCCACATTCTGCGCAGCATATTTTGGGCAAACCCAGAAATGTGTCACTGCAGGGTTCAGCGAGGTTTTAAAATTCAGAAAATGATGTGCACCAAATTGCAGCCCATGGGTGGTGTGGACCAGGGCAGCAGCCACTAACAGCTCGTAAACCAGCAGTATTTGTTTAGAATGTATGGCCGACTGCTGAGGAGTCTTGCAAAGGTGGGGGGGGGGGGGGGGGCAAAACCGGCCCAGAGTTTGCAAGCTTGACCAAATGCTGCTGGGTCACACAGCATGGTGTGTGGCGGAAGGTCAATTAAAATAACGTCTAAAAATACAAAGTTTCACTGTATGTGGGGGTACAGAACAGGCGATGTGCATTAAAATCTATAGAGTGTAAGACTAAACGTCACATTTGTCAATAAAGTGCTAAAAAGAAGGTCACGTACACGTTAGGAAAAGCTTTTGGGCAATGACTCTTTTCCAGAGAACAGTCATCTACCCTTGGGCCACCCCCCCCCCCCCCAAAAAAAAGGTTTTCGCATAACTCAGGGTAGGGTGCACGCACCACAGTGCTGAGATGTTAACTACCTCGCCTGGTATGTAGAAGGTCGTGGGTTCGATCAAGACCCCAAAAACGCCTGTTGTATACTTGGCGCTTGCACGTGTGTCTTCTCCGAGTCCTCCGTTCCCCCCCCCCCCCGCCACATTTCAGAATCGACACGCGTTTAGAGTATTTGTGGCTGCTATACATTTCAATGAGCTATCATGTATCACCAGGTAGCTCCTAAGAGGAGCTATATAATTTAGTGGGACTTACTTGGTAAAAAATAAAAACAGGTTTCCTACTTTAGGGCACAGGCTGCGGCGTGGATACCATACAGGAGAAATATTGGGCGGGGGGGGGGGGGGGGGACAAACCACACGAAAACAAATAGACTTCGGCGAGGCACGGACATGCGATCTCTGTAAAGAACATTGAGAACCAGCGTGGCATTCTATTTTCTAAACAAACAAAAAGACTGCAAGGGGATAGCGTCTGAACAAATTTCAAAAAGTGTATGTCCTTTTCATCATGCAACACCAGCAGCAAAGCAGGACCGCTTTCCGTTTTCATTCGAGACATTAAGAGCAAAGCACGTGGGTGGGTGGGGGGGGGGGGCACTTCCAGAAGCTGGGGGGATGAAGCTGAATTTGGAAGAGCCCCTAAGGGGGGGGGGGGGTTAGGGACGGTCGAGCAGAAAAGAAGGCTGGAAGGAGGAGGTGATGTGGTAGAGGAGGAGGAGGGGACCCCTTTGTTGTGCATTCCTCCTACTGGCTGGGTCGGACAAACGCCATCTGTAGACCTGCGAGACGGGGGTGGGGAAGGGGGGGGAAGAGTGTGGCGCGTGTTGTTGTCGAAGACAGACGACACACTCCGTTATTCTCTTTACACAAACACCCAACCGCGTGCACGAGCGAGTGAGCATGTGCCTCGACGCCAGTTCCCCTACCCCGGCCACTGCTGCTGCTGCCGCCCTGCACCCAGATACCCCCCTCCTACCCATCATAATTGAGTTATTGGCCCCCCAAAATGGTTTATCAGTACCAACGCAGGGTGGAAAATTATTATTTTCCTCGAAGCAGTTTTTTTTTCGTCGTCTCGATCGCAAACATTTATGACTGCAAGGTCACAGCCGTAGCGTTTTATTGTATTTACGAGATACGCGTTGTTCAAAAGAACAATTCGTTCGTATGGCGGGGGGGTGGCAACATGCTTCGTTTCACGGCTTCATGA